CCTCCTAATCCGCGGAAGGAGCTGATGGCAGGAAGGTGCCCTGCCCAGCCCCGTGGTCTCGCTCCGCCCGGACTCGCCGCCTGCCACGAGACTGCCTTGCCTTGAGCAGCATGATGTCGTTGGACACCGTGTTGGGGTCGTATTCAGGGTGCGGGTGGTGTCTGAGAACTCCCCGGATCTGCTGGCTCCCCTCTAGTTCGTTGATGCTGTGAGCCCCTAGGATGACTGTGGTGTTCCTGGCCGTGGTGGCAGAGGGGAGAGAGGGCCAAAACCGTTTGGGTCTCACCTGCATCCCTCCCCAGGTGCAGGCAGAGAGCTGCTCAGCCAAGGAGGAAGAGGAGCCTGCTCCAAAATGGTGATGGACCTCATTGGCAGGGGAGAGCAAGTAGATAAAACCCCTGTGTGAAGTACTCACCCCAGGCAGTGTGCAGCCGTCATCACCCAGGAAGGGGCCACCAGGAAGCCCCCACAGAAAAACCTATCAGTCTTCAGGAACACCATGTAAGGGTGGGAGTGGGGCTGAGCTTCATGGCCCCCCATGATCTGACTCCGCAAAGCACCTGCAAGACAGCCCACCGCAGGATGAGCCGGTGGCTGCCGAGGGCACAACCCCGGGCCAGCAGCCTCATCCCACCAGCCTGCAGCACCCCGGCTTACTAGTATTGGCCCATGGGCAGGAGAGCAGGAGCAGCAGGGCCAGCAGCAGCTGGGGCTGGCGCATCTCTTCCCCTGGCTGAACGCTCCTTCCAAGCCGTGTGGAAGGCTGAGTCTCCCAGTGCCCAAGAGCTATTTTTATACCCTGTGACCAGCTGTACCCAACAGCCCGGAAACCATGTGTGATGGCCTGATTGCGCTAATCAGAGCAGCACAGCATCCCTGTGGGTCTATCTGCATCTCCTCTGCCCCAGCCCCCTTGCATGCCCCACATGCTCTGAGGCTGCGATCGCTGGCGACCAAGAGGGGCAGATGGAGCCCAGCGCACTTCCACCCCAGGGCCATGGTACTGCCAACCAGCAGAGGCATACTGGGGTGTTTTCAGGGTGAGCTTTAGTGTTTCTCCCCAGTTTGGCTGCAGGACAAATCAAAGCTGGCTGCTTCAAAGTGTGACATCCTGGATCCCTGGCAAGCAGGGCACCTCTGACTGTACTTTCCTTAATGCCCTGCACTTCCTCGTTGGGGGGGGGGGGTCAGGTCACACTGCGGTTTGTCAGCAAGTGCAATGACTGCAAATGTTCTTTCCTCGCCCCGATTTTCTCTCTGCAGCTGCTCTGGCCCCCATCACAGCCGTCCAAATGGGGCCAGGGGAAGCCTTCATCTACCCTGCTCTGGATTCTCCACTCTCTCCCTTCCCTGACCTGAAATCACCTGATAACCAGGCTGCAATGGTAGTCTTTACTTTGACTCAAGAAAGGTGGGACTTGGTCAAACGCTAAGCCGGACACAAATTCTCGGCTGTCAGGGAGCCAGCATTAAGGAGTGGCTGGGGCTGGCTTGCTGCACATTGTGTCCCCTCGGGCTGCCGTCACAGGATGCTCTGCTTTGAGGCAAACCCCAGCCTGCAGCTCTTTATAGATATGCTTCTGCTTTCCTGGCCAGGGGGTTACTACCCCTCAGAGGCCAGCGTGAGTGCTAGACCCCAGCCCTGCACAGCAGTCCAAGTTTACTGATTTTGCCTTGTGCAATCTCAACCTTTGTGCTAAAACCAGGGGGAGCAGAGGGAGAGCCCAGCCAACCCTGATCCTTCTGCTCGGTGGCCTGCAGGGAATGGCCCTACAGCCCAAACCAATGGTCCCATGCCCACCTCCATCCTTGCTATGTGTGATGCTATGTGTCCCATGGGTCAGGACACATGGTTCTTCCTGTTCCTGGCTCTAATGCTGCCTTGGTTGGTGGCAGTGAACCCCTTCCTCTGCTGTGAAGGCACGCATTTTTCTGTTGAAATGGTGAGGAGAGCTGCCGGGGTGGGGGTGGGGGGAACACTCCCTTTTGGCCCTTTCAGTGCTTACGTTTTCCATCTGATAGACTTGGGCAGGAATCTTCCCAGAAGCTCTGACTGGGGGTCACTGCAGGTTCTGTGCAAGAAGCTAGTTTGAATGAGCTAATTTGGGCTTGTAATTGCAGCCAGTAGTTGGTGGGAAAAAACCCAAAAGACAAAGGTAAAAGAACAAGTGGCACCCTGAGGCTTTAATGCTGTTCCTCCTCAGATGGAGACCTAATCCTTGGTCCCGCTGTGGGATATTTTTCTACTGCAAGACCCTGTCTGTGCCCCTGGGGGAGGGCACCCGGGAGGCCGAGGGCTGAGCTGCTCCTTGGCCGGCGCAGCCTGGGGAGGGTGTTTGAGGGAGAGCTGCAGTCTGAGAACAGAAAATCACTGAAATGGTTCCTACAGGTAAAATCAGAGAGCATGGGTAGCAAGCAGCCCGGCGCCTCTAACCGCAGGGCACTCATTCTTCCTGCGCTGCACTCAGGTTCGGCACAACCCCGCCTGCCCTCCTAGCGCAGCGCTTGCTGCTCTACCCTACCGGCTGCCCTCCGCAGGCATCGCCCCGGCTGTTTACACCGAGCCCTCCCTGGCCCATTTCCTGGGCGAGAGCTGCTTCCTTCCCACCAGCAAGGGAGGAGCAGCCTCGGCCGCACGCTCTTGCAAAGCGGCTTCCAGGAGTTCGCGCCTCGTCGGGGGGTTTAATGGGCCAGCACGGGGTGGGGGGGGCACTCGGGGCTGGAAGCTCCTGCTGGATCTCCGGAGCAGCCTCGTGCCTCAACCCCGCTGGGCACGCGGCACCGAGCAGGGCTGGGGGGGGCCGCGGAGCCGGGGCCGCCACGGGCCTGG